TATGTATGGGAGGCTACACTGAATCTTCTGTATCTTTATGTATGGGAGGCTACACTGAATCTTCTGTATCTTTACCTATCTTCCTTTCAAAACTACTCTACTTGACAATTTTCAAAAAGTCATCTTAACAAAACTGAGCACTTTCAAATTACTCTACTTGCCTTCCTAACATTCTTGTAAACCAAAAAAGACTAGAAATTATCCTCCCAAACAACAAAAAGAAAGGAGAAGGAAAAAAAAAAAACCCCTACATACAGCTGAAGCAGTCTCCTTGCTTTCAGTTAAAGCTCTCTCCAGGTCACTCAGACTCTCTAACTTGGTGCTTTTTTTCTTCCCACTTGGCAAGGGCTCCTTTAACTTTCTCTGCTTCCTTTTTAATCCCAAAAGGCCAACATCACATCGAGGACACAGCACCTAATGTGGGACAAAGCACAACCAGTGGTAAAATGGATATAACATTAGGAAGTCCCAAAATAAAAGCCTAAGCAGTAGAAAGGATGTACATTTCTTGGTATTAAACATTTTCTTTTGAACATGCAGCCCTGAAACCAGAATATTCCCCTTTAGAAAAAGAAAGAAGGAATGGAGAGGAAGAGAAGAGAGAGAAAGGCAGGCTCAGGACATACTGACTTTGAGTCCAAGATTTAATTATTTAATTAAATAACAATTAAGATTTGACATATATTATTGAAATATAAAAAGTACAGCTGCACTTTATAAAAGGTGGGTGAGATCACTTATCAGGCTTACTAAAATTCAAGTGGTGAAGAAAGCTTCAACATAGTTAGAGGAATTTCACCCAATAGGAAAAATATTCTTCAGTCACTAAATGCTATCCTATAGAAAATGTTTAAAGGTTGTTTCACCAGAAGATTAAAAGAATCTCCCTGGCTCTTCTGGAAAAACACCTAATAGAACTAACAGAACACAGTGATCACCTTTGTATGTGATGGACTGAGTGTTCTACCAAGCTAGATCTAAGGCAGTGGTTCTCAACCTGTAGGCTGCGACCCACAGGAACCATATTAAAGGGCCACAGCATTAGGAAGGTTGAGAACCACTGATCTAAGGTCTTGAAGATGAGCTGGTTGCCAACTTACCTCTAAAAGAGAATATGGAGAATTCTCAGTCAAGAATGTGTTAGCAGCACATTCTTTCCAAGCCTGAACCTCAGCTACTAGTGATTCCAGCCTTGGCAAAGAATTCAGATGTACCGGAATAGATCGGCCTCGTGTAACAAGTTCTATGAGTGTGTCTAATACTGGCACACGTCCTCCAGCCTAAGAAATAGGTTAAAAGAAAGAAAGAAAGAAAGAAATCATTTAAGTTTAGAAAAAGAATATTTCTATACAAAAGGGGAAAAGTACAATTCAGATGAATCCATAATCCATGGAACAATTCAGATTACTTCTTGATATCAACTTGTTAAATTCACAGATGTTGACAAACCTGCCAGCTGACCAATGATTATGATGGAGGTAGAGGCACATTTGTTCTTTCACTTACGAGCTCTTAGGGAAACCTCATTTGTCCAAAGATA